AAAGAAGAGTAACTGAGAAACTATACGTTATCTCTACATTTGGCTATCTTCTGAACGTTGAGTGCCAACAAGGGATGTTATGAGGCTGATTCATAGACTTCTGTCCACATACGCATATGAAATCATGCTGAGTCTTGAACAGACAGACCCAGTGCCGAGTCTCTAGCATGCTACAAATTCTAGCCCTCACGGATTTCCCCTTGGGAAGGCTCACAAAGCAGAGCCTCTGGTGAGAGTTGGAGAACGGGAAAGCAACACCATGGCCCACGAAGAGGTACACACAGACAGATACAGGCTTCCTTCAGTTAATCAGTCCAACCTGAATCTTCCGAGGATGCTGAGCAATTGTGCAGATGTAACCAGAGACCCGACTCAGTCGCTGTTAAGTAAATGGGAGAAGAGCTGAACACTGATTTAGTCAGAAGGAAGCTTTTTGAATCTGACAAGGTTAATCAAATCCCCTCAGGATTTACCCTGAAACCTTGTACTGCAGATTGTAGATCCTTTGTCAGTGCCAGCCATGTGGATGAGTCACAGCCATTGCTTGACCAATTTGCTCTCTGTGAAAGCCTGAGGCAATATTTTCTCTCCATGTGACTCTCCTTAGGCACACTCTACATCATCGATCACTTTCCTCTGTGGCCCCATAATCTCCTTGATTAGAAAATTTGGGACACAACTGAGTTACAAGATGTTACAGTACAGGTTCTCCTATGTCCTGAGTCTTCACTGACATTGAAAGGGTAGGGCCAAAATGTTGGCTGTTCTTGAAGGTCTTTTTCTCTAATTTTTGGTCTGCAAACTTAAGTTTTTAACCCTCCAGAAGAGAAGTTTAATGATATGATTACCCTATAGCATAGGCAGTTGAGCTTAACCTCACCATCTATCTGAATATCAAACATCTTTGACCTAACAGGGAACAGGTATTTTCCATCAAGTATTGATATGTTAAACTTTAAATCCCTACAGAATGTGAAGAACAAAAAATATTTAAAAAATAGAAATGAACCATTAAATATTTCTACACAGAAATTTAGAAATCTAACCATATACAGTGTTGTAGCAAGATGGTCCTATGACATTTTTTTCTTGTCTCTTATTTTCATTTATTACTTTTTTCTTTTAAACAAACATTTACTTGAGAGACACTATAGCAGTAATTGATATGACATGACAAGCAGTACGTATTTCGAAGACCAGAATGACAGGCATTCCAAGCATGGCCCTAGTGTTACACATTGCTATCATATTTCTCATTATACAGGTCTTGCTTTATCTTGCTCTTAACCATCCAGCAGAAAAGTACAAAAACGAGGTATAAGAAGTAAAGCCATATTCATATACTGAGCTGTAAAAGGCTCAATTCAACAACTTCTGACATTGCCAGTCCTACGGATAACCCACTACTGTTATGGACTACTGGACTATATTGGATTATTTTGCTGAATTCACGCACCTACAATATTTAAATGGCAATGCAATACCCATCTCTGACAAAACTAAACAAAAAAGGGGGATATAAATGACCATTTTATAGTGAAATACATGTGTGTGTGTGTGTGTGTGTGTATATATATATATATATATATATACACATACATATACATATATAACCTGTTTATACAAAATAGGATAAATATACAGCTTTCTCTTAATTCAGTAAGAAAGATTTGTACTAATAGTGTTTGGACAGGATGTCATGCCTACATCTTATACTATGAATACTACGAAGACAACAAAATACGATGTATTAATTATTGTAACTGTACTACTAACCTGTTTTGAAACTGTCTCATTGCTGCTTCTCAATAAAAATAAAAACAGAAAAAAAGAAGGAAACCTTCTGAAAGAGAGGGCTTAGCCTCTTCCCAAGTCCTCACTCCCAGGGCAGCAGGTTCTTAAGCTGCCTGTCTCCACTGCGCTGCCATCCTCTTGCCCGCCTGGCTGCCTGCAGGGGACAAGCTTCAGTGTGAGCCTTTGGGACTCCGACTTGCTCATCCCCCATCTGCCTTGTGCATTCAGTCTAGCCAGGTTCCCAAACCGTGCACACCACTTCTCAGAATAAATCACATGTAACACACACACACACTACAAACCACACTTCACATTACATAAACTTGTCTGAGTGATTACTCTTGTTGGACCCCATCTAATTGATAGAGTAATGCCTGAAGGGCTTGAGTTGGAGTGTACGCGCACTTGTGGGGTGTCCCACAATTTCACTGGAAGGAAACAGATACATCTATGGCATACTGCCTATAAACATAAAATTTTGCCTTCGCTGCCATCAGATATCATAAAGTAATCCCACCAACAATGAAATAGTGGGCTAGGAGTTTAACTCAGTGGTAGAGGGCTGCGTGGAGTGCACCAGGCCTCGGGTTTGATTCCCAGTGAACCACCTCGCCTTCAAAGATGAACTATGGCCAAGGTGTGTCTAATGTTTCAGCGAGCTGATGAGGGCGCCCACCTGTGACACAGCACACACTCGGTGTCTCAGCAGGCAGCTCTCTGCAGCTTTGTGCTTTAGAATTATCACTACAATTTCTGCTTTTGATTCAAGTTCATCAGAAAAAATGATGCGAGTAGTTTTTCCTGATCCAGTACTATTTATTGTACAATACTATTTGTTGAATATTGATATATCTGCATTCTTTCCACACTGGGTCACTGTTCGATCATTTCTAAAAGCCTGCTGGTCGGTGGGCAGAGAAGTTTTGATCTACCCATAAGGACATTAACAAAAGTTAAAATTTGTTTTGGAAAGTTTGGTAACATAAACAGCATTAAAGTGTTTAAATGTTGCCATTTCCTGGAGATAATAAAAATGAAATCCAATCTAGCATCAAGCCAAATTTAAACCACACAGGTCAGGTTAGGCCAGAGATATTTCAAGAAATAGGTTTTCGAAAAGGGGGTAAGGGCTGTGAAGCCATTGTTTTTGGGTTCAGGTAGCAAACACACAACAGATGAGTGATTTAGGAGCACTTGGCTGCCTTTCTTTTTCCAAAGCTGCCTATGAGAAATACACTAAGTATCAAGAATATTATTTCGTATCACTCAGCAAACAATGCATTACAGAAATGAAATATTTCTTGAATTGATATGCATTCCTTTATAGGGAAGAAGTGAAATGGCGTAGTAAATACATCCCTGGAACTGGAGTCAGAACGCACACCTGTGACGTGCCAATAATCAAGCTTTAATGCCTAATAGTCATGTTCTAGAAATGAAATGGGGTTACAGTGTACTTTATAAATCCTGCAGTAATACGTAAGGATACTAATTTCTTACAAAAGCAGTCTTAATAAAATACAGTAGACACTACAGAAGAGTCACTGGTACTTATTTTACATTCATGTAGTGTATTTTATGAGTTGAGGGCAATTTCCTTATTTGAGCAAATCTGTACAGAGAAGTACAGTTTTTCTTGGGACTATTTATGTTCTTTACATTGTATGATGTACATGTACCAGTTCCCCACAAGGAATGTAAACAAGTACTACAAACATGTACAATAACAAAAATGGGGCTGGCGAGATAGTTCAGCAGCAGCACAGCACCTGGCTGGCAAGCACAAGGACCTGAGTTTGATCTCTAGTAAAAAAAAAAAAAAAAGGTGGATAAATAATGAAAATGTTCTGTAAATAAATTAAAATTGAAAAAAAAACCTTTATCGGGCAAATCTTTCTGGATCTTGAAGAGTACTTTATGTCCCATTCCTTTGTTACATTTACATTTGCAGCTTACATCAGTATCCTGAAGGAGTCCACGTCAATAGCCAGGTCCTTTCATGTGAGTACTCACAAGCCCTCTCCTGGATATTGAGCGGCGCTAAGCAGTAACACAAGCACATGGTCTCGCTAAGGAAGAGAGTAAAATCAGACTTGAGGCACTCAGCCAGTCACTTCCTGCTCCAGTCCAGAGCCCCCAACACGATTCTGGCAGCGTCTGGCTGTGGTCCTGACCACCCCCTATTTTCCCACATAACTACTCCCCACTATCTTTTCTAAGACACATTTTATTTTTGAGTTGTCAAGTCAGTGTTATTCTAGTTGAAGAACAAAACTAGTCAAATTATTTTCATGGGTAAAGTTTAATTCTTAAAGTAGAATTAAAAATAAGTAACATGTAAGAAATACTCCTCAATAGTATACCAATACTTTCTAAATTAATAATTCGATGAAGTATTGTTATAGAGGGTAAAGGCCAATATTTTTTAAAGTGTAACTGTACTTTCAAATTTATAGCCTAACAACAAGTATGGTATTTTAATGTAAAGCTTCCAAGGAAAGTACGTATCGGGTGTTGAAATTCAACTGAAGGCATGACTTTGCTCTTCTCTGATCATAACTTTAAAAGCACTCCAGAAGAAGCCCACCGCAGAGCACGACGCTACACAGACTGCTGCTTCTTTTCCAGAGACTTCTCAATGTCATCAAGCACCTGAACTGCAGCCTTGGGAATTCGAGTTCCAGGGCCAAACACGTTGGAAACACCAACTTCATACAGAAAATCATAATCCTGTTGACGGAATTTGTTTAGCTGTTAAAAAAAGTTTACTTCTAATGTCAAGAAAACCAAGCTAAACAATGAATGTTTTCCTTCCTTCTTTGCGTCAAGATGCATGACCTTCCAAGTAGTACACTGTGGGTTTGTGGGACACAGAATTTTTCCTTGATTGTGGGCCCTTACTCATAGCTAAGGGCACCACCCTCAACCCCACCTCAAGACCAAGACAAAAAGAGGAAGCACAGCTACATACTTCCCGAGGGATGGGCATTAGGGATTGATATCCTAAATAGTATCAACTGGAAAGAGCCCAAATGAGTCACTAGCCCAACCCCCAACAGGAAGACACCCTGTTCTGTATTCGTGTCTGCTTGCTATGTGACTCACTTTCCCATTTGATACTGGATTTAATCAATTTTACCTGAGCAATGGTGCTTGTAATCTCATTGGTTGACCACAGTTTGGTCCCACCTCATGCCCAACTAAACAAGTTCCCATGTATTCTCCACCACCTTAGACCCACCTCACCACATGGTTTTCCTCTATAAAAGTCCTGCAAGAGACAGCTTCCTGGGGGGAATTACCTGCTCGCCCACAGGAGCTTTCTTTCTCTCAATAAATATATTCTACTCATAAAAAAACAGAACAAAAAAAAAAAAAATCAAATGTAAGCCACCCAGACGTTGGTGGTGGTAGAACGTGGTCTGACCCCAAGGATTTCCCAACTCTGTACCGTAACTTTCTCTTGCTTCATTTTCACTGTTTGTCATTATTTGCCCTTAATGTGGCTATAGTTTTAACTTTGCAGGGCTATTTATCTCTTCCTGAGTATTTTATCTGCAGCTAAGAAAATGGTGGCACTTTGAATTTGGCTTTGTGAAGTTGAATTTTCTATAAATAAAGATTAGTTCTTTTTTTTATTCTATATGTCTGTTTATTGTAATCATCGGTACAAATTGAGCATAGAGATTGCCAGGGCACAAATATGCCCCCCCTTAGGTTAGGGTATCTCAGCGTCAGAGAATCTGTAGCTCTCGTGTCAAGCAGAGCATGGCCTCTGAGGTGCTGACCCCGATTATGAACGGCAGGCCACTCTGGGCTGGGCAATGCTGCACAACTTTTTTTTTTAACAGCACAATTTGCACCCTCAAGGGATCATAACTGGATAATAAATTACAAGGTCATGCTAACTATTCTCCAACAATTTCTTTTCTATCTCTATTATATTCTTAAAATGTTCTTGTAAAACTATGTATTTTTTTTACAATTTATTGAATATAGGGTGTCTCACTACACAGATTGAACTCGTAGTGATCCTCCTGTCTCAGCCTCCCGAGTGCTGGGATTACAGGCCTGCGCCACCATGCGCGGTGTCAGTGGCTGGCATGGTGCACCTGAGTTTCTGGGGCCAAGATGGCACATGGTACCTGGGATCAAACCCCGGTCCTTGTGCCTGCCAGGCAGGTTCACTGCAGAGCTATCACTCCAGCCCCCAAAACTATGATTTTGTAATGACACTCAACATACCTTATCAGTTTGAATTACTGAAGGCAGAGATACTGTGTCATCAGCTTTGTACACCTAGCATCTGACACATAAAGGCATTCAAAACTTGTTACTGTCCCTGGGCAAGGGCTAGAGGTTTTAAGAACACATAAGAAAACTGGATCAAATACGGGTGCAATTGTCTCCATACCAGTGATCAGTAGACTGGTAGGTTATTTCCATCACTGTCTCCTAATAATTTTATGTGCCATATGTCCTGATGTCTGAGTTACAGACTTGGAATTGAGTACTCAACTGGAAAAGAACTAGGGATGAACCGTGGTCCCCTGTGCCTGAGCGCATCTGCCCAAGTGGCGCTCTCTACAACTGCGCTATGGGCAAGCCCCAGTAAGGGTCATGTGATCGCTAAACTTGCCTGCAACAGCGGGAGGCCGCTGTGGCTAAGAGCACTGGAGAACCCTGATTATAGCACCACACTAGTGAAGATGAAGCATGTGCTTATTCCACCCACAGAAACTGCACTCTCACTGGTAGGGACAGGGCCTGTATCTGTTTGACTACACACTACAGATTAGTGCCTTCTAACCTTAAAAGTAAGTGACCTTCAGTTGAAGGGCAGCAGCATTTTACTCAGCTGTGTTCCCTGTGCTATGGTTTGGACCAGTTCTCTGCAGGTCATGTATTAAAGGCTTGGTCCTAGGGCCCCGGTGCTGTGGGGTGACAGGGCAGCTTTAGGACATGAGGTGTCACAGGAAGGCTCCAGGCACTGGGAGTGGCCCCTGAGAGGCTGCCTCCTCCTGCGAGTCCCGGCCACAAGGTGGGCAGGATCGCTGCTCCCCAGCACGGTCCGCTGCCTCCTCACAGGTCCAAAGGCAACAAGGCCATGGGCCCCAACTGTCAAGACTGGGAGCCAAACTAAACCCATTCACTGTGCAAGCTGAGTACCTCAGACGTTTGTTACAGTAACAGACATCTGACTTGCATGTAGGAACGTGGTACCAACGAAGAGAAAAGCAGACATTTTGAGTACCTTCACTGTATTTCTAGGACACCCAAACTATACACAGCTGTGTCATAGAAAATTATCCTTAGTTTTTTTAAACTTAGAGGGGAAAAACAGGGCAAAGAGCTAAAGATTTAAGTAATTCAAATATCTAGAAACTTAGACTGAGTGAAATGTTGAAAATGGTCATCTCACATAATACTTACATTTTATCTCAATTTTATTTCAAATTAAATATTTCAGGCAGCCTAATTATTTTGATTCCTACATTTAAAATCACACTTAAGACCTTAGGTATTATTGACTCTAACTATAAGACAGAATTGTTCCTCAGGGAGACAGTACTAATAACACCCTTATCTGAATGTGGTGGCACATGTATACTGTCCTAGCATTTGGGAGGCTGAAGCAGGAGGATCACTTGAGCCAGAAATTTGACAGTAGCCTGGGCAACACAGTGAGATTCATTTTGTCTCTGTTTCTCATTTATTATTTTTGTTTTTTCTTTATGTATTTTGTATAGGGTCTCACCATACAGCTCAGATTCATAGTGATCCTTCTGTTTTCAGCCTCCCCAGTGCTGGGATTACAGGTGTGCACCACCATGCCTGGTCTCTGTGGTCGGCTCAGGGGACCCGGGGGTAGGGCTAGTGGAGCATGTGATGCTGGGGAATCAAACCTGGGTCCCTGTGCTTGCCTAAGCAGGCGCTTAGTCCACTGAGTTTTCTTGGTGGCCTTTCCGTCTGTGTCTCTATCACTCTATGTCTCACACACAAGTACACATATACAAATAGTGAAAGCAACTGTGAGTATATTAATAAAAGAACTTTATGCTGACTATATATATATAAAACCCTGCGAATTGATTTAAGAAAAAATAAGTGACACTTAGCTCTCTCACCAGTGCTACACTGTCACTAATCTCATAGTTCCCTGTGTACCTATCTTCTCATTTCTTAAGTGATATAAATTCATGATTTTTATTCCGAGTTGTAACCTAGGAAGGAAAACCGTGGAGGAGAAAACAGTCCTACTTCCCTGAGCAATTTCTGCTGCAGCGGCAGGGTCTTCGCAGCCTCTACAATCACCTGTCTGGAACAGCCTCGGACACAGTTCTAACTTAATATTTTTCCATTCCAGTAATAAAGGAAAATCTAGCATGAGTAGAAACTAGAATGGAAATAGGTCATTTTTACATTTTAACTAATTATTTTAATTAACTAGGACAGCAACTGGAGGATGGTGTCGTCTCGTTCTTTTGATAAACTAGCATCCGTTGTCACCTTGCGTCCACGTCTCCTTTTCTAAGATCGCCCACTTTTCTGGTTAGGGGTCTACCTCCTTTCCTTAAGCCTACAATCTGAGGACAAGCTGCTTCCATTTGCCATGCAGGTATTTTTGGCTCCAATAAACTGTCCTTCACCCAAAGTAAAGACATGATCTCTGCAGTATTCTAAGCCGAATGTACTTCAGACCATAGTTTCTGATTGGGCAGTACTGAGGGATGGGAACATGGAAGAAACAGAAGGGTAGCTCCTCTGTAGCAGAAGCGAGCTGCCCACAGGTTGCTCCCACCAGGAAGAGGCGTCCTCCTCAGTGCACTCAGCGGCCCAGATGCTCACTGTGTTTACACTCTTCCCTACTCCAGGCGTGAGGCAGCACTGCTCGACCCTGCTCTTTCTCCATCACTGACTACTGACTACCACAGCAGATACCAACTGCAAGGTACTGGTTTGTATGGATACAGTTCTGTCATAGAACTGTAAAATATAATGAGTAGAAAAGAACACTCCCTACTTTGGCTTCAAATCTCTAATCTTTTGTCCTTAGAGCTACACATAACCTATCACTGCTCAGCAGTCCCCCTCCAGTAACAGGAAAACACGACAGCACGGAAGTACCTGTGGTGGGATCACCCCGCCGCACATGACGAGGATGTCGGGGCGACCCAGGGCACTCAGTTCCTTGATGAGCTCGGGAACCAGGGTCTTGTGCCCCGCAGCGAGAGTACTCACACCTACCGCGTGCACGTCGGCGTCCACCGCCTGCTGCGCCACCTCGCGGGGAGTCTGAGCAACAGAAGGGAAGGGGCGGGTTGTTATCCCACACAGTGGCCAGGAAAAGCCTGCGGCAGACGTGGCATCTGCTAATAGCCAACCTTCAGGTCATTTCTTATAAACTGGGACACTAATACTCCATGTTTCACCCTTCTAGAATTCTTTAATTTTTGCTTTTTATATTAATATAATACATGTACATAGTGATAAAATATAAAATGCATCCTTTTATGAAACATTAAAACAAAATTGGGAATAACTACAGTTAATTTACTGTGTATCATGATCTTAGAAGAATGGCCAATGTTACTCCAAGCACAAGTTATAAAAAAGAAAGAATTAAACGAAGGGCATACACTTGGCAGTATCAGTGATGCCATTCATAGTACTAATGAATGAACATCAATACTGCACTTACTTCTAGCATTAAAATTTACCAATTAGGTCCAAATTATAGAAGAAAATAGTTCCCCTAGAGAATTTGTAAGATGAAGCATTACAAGCAAAAGGGATCACTTCCTATCATCTCTCCAAAATATACCTGACGCCTTCAATACCAACATTTACCCAGCAGGTTATACAGTACAAGAAATATGAAGAAGTAAAAGACTAAATCCAAAATACAATACTGAAAAGTAAATCGTAGCCAGGCATAGGGGTGCATTCCTTTGATCACAGCACTCCAGGAGGCTGAGGCAAGACCAACAAAAGCCTGAGTCCACTCTGGGCAGTTAGTGGAAACACTTCCTCAGAGAAAATGAACATGTGAGGGAGCTCTGCCCGCGGCTGTCCTGGAGTTGCGTAGAGCCCAGCTGCCCCTTCGCACCCTGCACACTGCCGGGGAGACTGTGCAGCGCTAGCTCCCCACCCTCCCCCATCCTGCCTGAGTTCCACTGAGCCCAGCCACCCATTCTCTCCGGGAAGACTGCTAGGGAGACATGACTACCACAAGGACCTACAGGAACCTCAGGCGCTCTACCCTGTGCCAACCCACAGTGGAGAGAGCCTTGCAGAACTCTGGCCTGCAAGATTATCCGATCCTTCTTGAGCTGCGGCTGGCCCGCCTCCTTTCAATGAGGTGGAAGCCACACTAAAACCCACACAGCAGGAGCGCTGGTGAGCCCACCCTGTCCTCCCATTCTCCTGAGAGCCCTGCTGACCCGCACCCGGCCCACCTATGACTGCTGCAGAGTCAGGGAGAACGCTGGGGGCTTTAAAAAATGACAACAGGAAGGAACAAAGGCAATCTCAGACCTCTAGCCCACCCAAAACAAGTCCAGGAAACAAGGTCATAGGATTACTTGGAAGTCACACACCTGAAATTTCTGAGATGACAGCAACTGAAGTAAAGAAACAACTCTATCGGGCTATGAGGGAAATCAGGTCAGAACTAATCTCTCAGGTAAAAAAGGAAATGACCACAATCATGAAAGAACTGCTCGATACATCTAAGGAAGGCATAGATAAAAAAATAAGAGGAGGATAGGGAAATGATGGAAACATTGAATGAACAACGCAGAAAAGAGCTACCATGCATGAAACAGATTCAAACAGATATCCAGGACATTACGAATTCCACTGAAAGCTGACAAAACAGAAGATAAAATTTCAGACCTTGAAGATAGCATTGCAGTTAGCAATCAGGAAAGGAAACACTGCTTAAAAACATGTGAGGAGTACAGATCCATGCAAAGGCCAGGTTCAATTCCTAGTACTGGAAAGAAAGAAAGAAAGAAAGAAAGAAAGAAAGAAAGAAAGAAAGAAAGAAAGAAAGACAGACAGACAGACAGACAGAAAGACAGAAAGACAGAAAGACAGAAAGAAAGAAATCTTCACTTTTAAAAATAGAATGTTGGGGGCCGGGGAGATGGCTTAGGAGAATAAGCGCTTGCCTGGCAAGCACAAGAGCCTGTGTTCAATCCCTGGTTCCGCAAAAAAAAAAAAAAAAAAAAAAAAGAATGGGTTAAGGGCTGGAGAGATAGCTCAGTAGAATAAGTGCTTGCCTGACAAATGCAAGGTCCTGAGTTCAATCCTCAGTACCGCAAAAAAAAAAAAAAAAAAAAAGAATGGGAAGGAATGACATCAGCAAGATAAAGGATGGGAAGCTCCAGAGTCTCCCACAGAGACATGAAGTTAATAACAGTTTATAAAATCAATTCCTTTATGAAAACTGTAGAAATGAGGTGAGAGGCTACAGCTCCGAGGTGAGGGCATAATTAATGAGAAGGATGGCACAGAGGAGCTGTTTCACCATCTGGAATCTGAATGCAGCACTTTAGGCCAAGAACTTTATTTATGTATTTATTTTTGTGGCCTGCTCAGTCTGCCCTGGGGCGGGGCTGGCATGGCATGTGGGGCTGGGACTGAACGGCAGTTCCCTCCCTGCCATTGCCTAAGCTTGCCTAAGCAGGCGCTTTACACTGCTGAGCTCTCTCTCTCTGGTCCTCAGCAACTTTCTTTTTTTTTTTTCCAGAAGAACCAGGGATTGAACTCAGGCCCTTGTGCCTGCCAGGGAAGCGCTTATTCCACTGAGCCATCTCCCCAGCCCCCTGATCCTAGGCAACCTTAAAAGTTACTTTTTAATTACTAAATTATGAGCTGAGGTACCAAAATCATATTCACTTCAGCACCAATGAATTTGTGACACTGCTAATTCAGGAGTATTTAAATTATTTCATATAAAAGGCACCAATACAGTTTTCATTGTAAATGTGAAAATGTACAATCAACACCAGTTCTGGAACTTCTATACAAGTACAAGCACAAAAAAATCATCAGCATGTGAATGTTCTGAGTTTGGGAAGATGCTGTTTATGATTCTGCACACTCAAGTAATGAAGTTACTTCAAGGACATCGCACAGCATAGAAATAAAACCGTGAGCCTGTGAGAAACAGGATCCTGTAAATATGTTAAGAAATATGAATTGTATTTACGTCATTACACCCAGTACCTTCTTAAGTAAGGATGGATTTCTCTTTCAAAACAATGCAGAGGGGCCGGGGAGATAGCTCAGAGGCGTAAGCGCCTGCCTTGCAAGCACAAGGACCTGAGTTTGATCCCAGGTACCACATGTCATGCCAGCCTTGGAACCAGGCATGGTGGCACACACCTGTAATCCCAACACTCGGGAGGTGGAGGTAGGAGGATCACTGCAAGTTTGCGACCAGCATGGGGGCACAAGAAGTGAGCACAAGGCTAGCCTACGCTACATAACACGACCCTGCCACAAAGACAAAACAAAACAATGCAGAAACTTCATAAGGGACATCTTTCCCACCTATTAGTTAACTCTCAAAGAGTAGAACAAGACCTCTGAGCTGGGTGTGGTGGTGCACACCTGTAATCCCAGTACTTGGGAGGCTGAGGCAGGAGGATTACTGTGGGTTTGTGGGCCACTGGGCTATACAGTGAGTTCAAGACTGAGTTCTTGAACTACATGGCAAGACCCTACCTTAAAAAAAAAAAAAAAAAAAAAAAGATGTCTTTGAAAGTAATCCAAAGCTTAATAAAAGTTTAATTTCTTAACTACATTTATTTTAGCAAAGCTTGACTTAACGTGAGTTATAATTTATTATTATTTGTCATTAACTGGATTATATGTCTTCAACAATAGAGAATAAGTTAAATATTTTCTTTAATGATTTAAAAACTTCATCTTGGTCTATCACCATTTTTCTTACGGCTGACACTCTCAAATGGCCCTGACCAACTTCTTCGTACCTGGAAAAGTGGGCCTATGTCCACATCGAAGCCGAGGTCAGCAAATCCCGTAGCGATGACTTTGGCTCCTCTGTCATGGCCATCTTGTCCCATTTTTGCCACAAGAAGACGAGGTCTGCGACCTTCACGTTCCTTAAACTTGTCAACTCTAATAAACAGTTTAAAAGACAACAACAATTAAATATTAACTGTCCAAAGGTAAGATATAAAAACCAATTTATGGTAGTTTCCCAAGAACACCTAATCCACCTTCTGACACTGGGTCGGTATCTTTATGTCACACCGAAAGCCCCATCAAACCCTGAATGCACCCCCTGTGGCCCTCAGAGGAAAGGTTAAAGGGCAGCACTGGCTGCAAGCCCGGATCCCTGAAAATACCACACTGAAGCTAGATGAAGCGTGATAGTTTTACTCTCCATAGTCACCTTCTTGCAGAATACAGCACCCAGTTATACTGAAGTATACACTAAAAAGTGCCTTTCCGAGCCTTTCACACAGATATGTCCCTCAGCAGAACTTTGAATTCTCCACCTACCACCTAGCCTTCTCAAGTGTGAACTTGCCCAAGCTGAATGCCATAAAGCGCCTATCTGGAACAAATTCTATCAAAATTACATCAGCAGTACTAATTGTCATTAAAAGAAAAAAAAGTTACTCTTGATAACTGTGACCATGACTTTTAAAATCTATACAAGTACTGCCGCACATTTTTAGTGGAAAGTGTATCACAAAGGCTGAGAATACCCGTCACCAAGAAGCCAGTTTTCACACGTTGAGGGACACGGGCACACCATTCTACATTTCTATGCCAGGGGCACCAGAATTATTTACTATTATTATGAGCTTGTGGAAGAGGAGGGCCTCGAGATGGTGTGGGCAGGAAGCCGGCACACAATACCTGGGAGGGAAGGGGGTTTGCGCTCCCTGCCTTTACCCTTGTTGCTCTGGCTCTCTTCTGCTGCCTTGAACTGTCGCCCCCGTGCCGTGCCTTGTCAACCTGCCCTGGAACCAGCTGATTACAGACTGAAACCTCTGCAAACTGTGAGCTAAATAAACTTTTCCTTAATTTTGGGTGTCTGGTATTTTATCTCAGCAATAAGAGAGAACAGTAACTAAGATGGCTCCATTTTATTTATTTATTTTTTGGGCACAACCAGGGATTGAACTCAGGCCCTTTCGTCTGCCAGGGAAGCGCTTGTTCCACTGAGTCATCTCCCCAGCCCTAGATGGCTCCCTTTTAATCTAGGGGGCCATGGCCATGTGTTGAAGTCCACCACTGACCAAAACATCAACATTTTACATACTAGTACATGAATATATAATTATAATTATATACTATGCATAATAAATTACACTAAACAACTCATTACTTATACATTAATTATATAATAAGGTCACAATGTAAATATCAAATACCTAATTTAACATTAGTTTAGCTAGAATTACAGACTAACAGGAAAGTGAATTCCTGTTCCTCCAAGTTATATGTGAAAAGACTTAAGCCTTCAGAGCATCTGAGAGGATTGTGTTCATGGCAAAGGTGAAACCCAAGCCTAAGACACCTCAACTACAACAGCACAGCACTCTGGGAGGCTGAGGCAGGAGAATCACAAGTTGGAGCCCAGCCTGGCAATTTAGTGACTCATCAAGACCATGTCTAAAAATAACAATTTAAAAAGAGAAAAAGGGGTGGAGGTATAGCTTTGAGCAAAGGCTTTAGGAGGAGTGTAAGGGGAAAAGAACAGGGAAGAAGAAATGAAAGCAGAGGGAAGGGGTGGGGAGGGGTGGGGCCAGGGCAGGAAGGAGGGGAGCGATTTCACATATTACCTCCTTATAGCGGATGTTATCTCCTTACTTTCTCCAAATTCCTGGCGATACGCTCCACTCACCATACGATCACTAGCTTTATGTTCACCAAATACTTTTTTCAAAGCATCTGTGATTTCTCCAACTGTACATCTAAAATATTAGAGTACGGCAACATTATTTTTCAAATAGATATTTGTTTACAATGTCAGTATAATTAGACATATCATACAAGTAAAAGACTATCAAAATCTTAACAATGCTTTTAGTTTTTCCCCATTCACTGTAACGTTGACAACTGGCTTGTCCTGGATAGCTTTTATCATACAGGTATGGTCTTCCTATATTTGCTTTATGCTTTTTATGACAAAGAGGCATTGGATTTTGTCAAAGGCCTTTTCTGCATCTTTTGATATGAGCATGTAGTTCTGAACCTTGCTTCTGTTTGTATTACATCATATACTTAGGGATGTTGAACCATCCTTGCATCTTTGGGATGAAATCTATTTGAACAAGGTATGTCATCTTTTTGATAACAATGCATCATTCTATTCCCTGATATCTTGTTGAGGATTTTTCTATTGGTGCTCATTAAAGATACTGGCCTATAGTTCTCTTTTTCTAGCTGGTTCTTCATCTGATTTTGGGAGCAAAAGATGGTGGCTTCCATAAATGAACAGGAGTGCTCCTTTCCTTTCAACTTCTTTGAACAACTTTAGTATTGATGCTATAATATCCTTAAAGGTTTTTAGAAGTCACTTGTGTATCTATCAGGTCCTGCGGTGTTTTTTGTTGGGAGATTATTTGTTACTGAGACAATTTAATTGCTTGTGATTGGATTGTTAAGTATACTTACACCTTGAGTTACTTTCGGTAGTTTTTCTGTGCTTAGGAATTTGTCCAATTTGCTAAGTTTTTGAAATACAATTTTTCAAAATAGTCACTGTCTTCTGGATTTTAATAGTGTCAGCTACAACTTCATCTTTGCCATTTCTATGTGCATGCATATCTTTTTTCTCTTTCACTTGCTGAGTTTTACGAAGGGCTTACTTTTTCTTTCAAAGAATCAGCTCTTTGTTGATTTGTTTCATATTTTTTTGTAAGACTCAACTTAATTTTCACTCTCATCTTTATAATTTCTCTTCTCAGTTTTGGTTTGGGGCTAGTTTGTTGTTTCTCAAGAACCTAGATTTCTCATAAGTTATTTACTTGGGCTTGCTCTGTTTTCCTAAGGTGCACGTGAATTGCAATGAAGTTTCCTCTGACAACCACTTCCAGAGTCCCAAAGGTTTTATTGAGTTGTGCTGTCATTGTCATTAATTTCCAGAAATTTTAAAATTTCTTCTTTGACTTCTTCCGTGAACCACTGGTTATCTAGGAGTATGTTTTTAACTTCCTAGGAGTTCTTGCCTTTCCCATATTTTGTTCTGTCAAGTTCTATTGAAGCAGAGTCGTAGGATAGTAGGGGATGATTTTAGTACTTTTATATTTATTTAAGTAGGTTTTGTGGACTAATATGCAATCTATTTTTGGAAAAGGTACCATGTGCTGTTGGAAAGAAAGTAAACTGTTGCAGATGGGCGGAATACTCTGCATTTAACCTATTAATTCCATATATTCAAGTGCGTGGCTTACTTCTGAAATTTTTAGTTAATCTTTCTCCTTGAGAAAGTGGGGTGTCAAAATATCTTACTATGATTGTGTTAATGTTCATTTGATCTTTTAATTTCAGCAGTATCTGTTTCATGAAGGTAGGTGCTCCAGTGTTTGGTGTACATGTTTACTAATGTTATCTCTTCTAGCTGGATTGCTCTTTAAATTAGTACAAAGTGCCTCTTGTAATACATTTTAACTTGAAGTTTAGCACGTTAGATATTAGAATTGCCAACTATGTTTATTTTCATGGTCTTCATGAATAAAATGTGTTTTATCCTTGAGTTGTAAGTCTATAAGTTTTTTGGGTTCTTTTCATCAGATGGGTTTCTTGAATGCAACAGATTGTTGGATTTTTGTTTTTTTGATTCAGTCAATCTGTGTTTTTGATTGGACAGTTGAGCCCATTAATACGGACAGATATCACTGGGATATGCTAGTTATTTATGGTCATTGTCTTATTTATCTCTTGGCATATCATGTTTCACTTTTCCTATTTTCTTTATTGTTGAGTATCTATAGACCTCACTAGCTTCCTGTGTTTTTAGGTGTGTCTAATCCTGTGTTTCTGTCCAGAATATTCTTGAGTATTCCCCGTAAAATCAGAAACAAGACAAAGATGGCCACTATCACCTCTGCTATTCTACATAGGACTTGAAACATTAGCCAGGCCCATTAAGCAAGGGAAAGATATAAATTGGATACATATTGGAAGGAAGAACTCAAATTATCATTATTTGCAAACAGTATTCATCAAGAAGCTCTTAAATTAGTAATCAACTTCATCAAAGTAGCAAGACATAAGGTAACATATAAAAATCATTTGCATTTGTGTATACCGACAATGAACAGAAGGAGAAGGAAATTATGAAAACAATACTTGTAGTAGGGGCTGGGGAGATGGTTCAGTAGAATTAGTGCTTGCCTGGCAAATGCAAAGGCCTGAGTTCAATCCCCAGTTCTGCCCAAAATAAATAAATTAATTAAAAAAAAAATACTTGTAGTTGCTTCAAGAAAAACAATATACTTAGGAATTCACCTAACCACAGAAGTGAAAGCCCTCTACAAAGACAACTACAGCGCTCTGCAGAAGGAGATTAAAGAGGGCAGCAGAGAATGGAAGGATGCCCCTGCTCTGGGAAGGACAGAACAAATACTGTCAAAATGGCCTCACTTCCAAAACTGCTACACAGATTCAAAGCAGACTGAATCAAAATACCAATTGCATGCCTTTTAAATATAGATAAAACAATTCTAAAATTTATATGGAACCAGAAGAGATCCCAAATAGGAAAAGTAATTTTGGTCAATAAGAGCAAGGCAGGTGTACAGCAACACCAGACAAGCGGTGGTGATGAAAACAAAGTAGGACAGAAAAAACATAGATGCGTGGATCAATGGCTCAGTGGGGCAGAACTGAGGACACAAGACCTCCGCAGACATATTCAACTACTTGATGTTTGACAAAAGGGCCACAAGGACATGGTAGAGGAATGGCAGCCCATTCAACACGTGGTGTTGGGAAAATTGGTTATGTGTTTGTAGAAGAATAAAACTGACTGAGCGTGGTGGTACACACCTGTTATCCCAGCACTCGGAAGGCTGAGGCAGGTGGATCCTTGCAAGTTTGAGAACATCCCCGGCTACAAAGTAAGCTCAAGGCCAGCCTGAACTGCATAGTGAGACCCTGTCTCAAAAAAAAGGAAAAGAAAAGAAAGTGAACCCTTACCTTTTACCATATCCTAAATTAACATAAAAATGGATCAGAGCTCTAAACATAAAACCAGAAACATTAAATCTCCTAGAAGACAAAATATATTTGAAGACACAGGCGTTAGAAAGGCTTTTCTAAATAGGATTTTCTAATTGACCTCAACTGCATAGGAAAGAGCAGAAAGCATCAATAATGGGATTCTAATTCACTAAAAAGCTTCTGTACAGCAAAAGATTCAATCGGTAAAGAGATAAGGTGCAGAATGGGTAAAAATATTTGCCAGCTGCTCATCAGAAAGGGAAATAATATCTAGAACATATTAAGAACTCAAAAAAATTAAATCTCCTAAAATTAAAGATCCAGTAAAGAAACAGGCTAGAGAAAATGAACAGACACTTCACAGAGAAGAAATACAAGTAGCCAACACATATATGAAAAAATGTTCAACATTTCTGGCCATTAGAACAAGAAGATTTCATCTTACTCTGGAAAGAACAGCAATCACTAAGAGACTAAACAATAACAAATGCTGGTGTAACTGTGGCAAGGAATTCCCCTTACACTGACAGCAGGATTGCAAACCAGTACAGCCAAGGCAAACAGTGTGGAGACCTCTCAAGGGACGGAAACTAGAAATTCACACGACCTAGCTATCCCTCTGCTGCATCTTCTCCAAAGAGCTTAAATCATACTACAGTGATGACTGCATACCAATGCTTACAGCAGCACAATTCATAATAACTAAATCCTGGAAGCAGCCTGTGTATCCATCAACAGATGACCGGATAGACAAAATATAGTTTCTATGCACAATGCCATTCTCAGCTATGAGAAATTTAAGGCCTTTATAGGAAAATGGATGTATCTGGAAAACATACTGTTAAGTGAAATAAATGAGACACCTAAGTTCGAGTGCCATATGCAACTCCTTATTTGAATGAGGCAAAGTAAAGCAAAGAAAATGAAAAATGCCAGATAGTAGGGGACAAAGGGACAGATTTCACACAGTAGGGAAGTGCACAATGAGAGGGGGTGGGAGGGGAAGGGGAAATGAAAGTTATGAGATACACCATGCGCAGAGGCCTAAGACCCCTAATCAATGCAAATATTTTCAGCCATAACATGTGCCAAGACAGTGTGAACAGGTATGGAAAATGGAACTGGTGAACCACAGGAGGAGAAAGAAGATCAAAAAACAAGCCGCACTATGTGCAAATAACTGCTCCCTACTGCTTGAATTAAAAACATGTACCAATATAATAAAGTAAATAAGAAAGGAAGAATTATTTCATGTGTGTGGTGTTGGGGAAGAATGATTTTAGTATATCATGAAAACACCTTTCCTGACAAAACTGCCAACCGCCTAAGACAGGAACAGGGCCTACTGCTGCCCTGCAATCCCGAGACGGGTAAGGTCTGGTCGATCTCGTGAAGGAGTCCTTGACCCAAGCCAGGCGTTGTCCCCGCAGGGCACTGTCAATTTCCCGCTTGATGTAATTAATAAAAAGGGGGGACATGTGGGAGGCGATGGAACGCTCCTCTTACACTTTCCCTTATTTGGGCAAGAAATGCTGCAGCACCAATCCCTGCTTGCCTTGGCATCTTCCCGTGGTCCTGGACCTCTGCTACCAATCTGCAACTAGTCCCACCCAACTGCTTTCACTACACGGCTATTTAGACCCTGCTCATTTCCTCAATAAACGAGACTTGATCAGAAAGCCTGTCTAGTCTCTGTCTCTTGTGTCTCTTGCCCTGTCTTGTTCATCCCCATTCCTCCTCCAGGTAATCACCCCACATCTCAACTCACGGGACGAGTCACTGAAGTACAGTGAAATACATAAATGTGAATATACCCCAAAGTATATGTTTTAAATGCACAGATACATTTAAGAAAAACAAGAATTTATGATGGTTTCTATTAGTTTCTTGATGGCTCATAGCACCTATATGATTAACCTATTGAAATATTTTCTACAACACTTCCAGTATTTGAAATCTCCAAACCTGCACAGCCTCACCTTGCGCGAGCTGCATCCACTGCGAGGGCCAGAATGTTCCCGTCTCCACTGGCAGCGCACTGGGTGAGCGCGGCCAGGCACTGCTCGGCCAAAGCCTGATCCCTGTTGGCCTTGATCTTGTGAACAGGAAAGAGATGGTGCACATGAGCAGGGAGTGAAACACACCACGAGATCTGACCCCGATACCTATTATAAGGATGCAGTTTGTTCCACATTCCTAACCTCAGAAATAAGAAAAAAATCCAGAAAAAGTATATAACCTAAGAAGTATATTTATTCTTTTTATTCATTCACTCAGGAAGAATTCTGATTTGGTCATGGGCTTAAAAAAGACTCAAAGTTCAAAATTACATAACAATTACAAAGAGATCTCCATTTTTCTTAAACTGGCCCTAGAATCAAGGAACCTCTGTCATCCAACTCTTGCACTATGGTATAACCTTGAATGATTAAGAGAACTTCTAATCATCAGTTTCCTTGTCAAAAAGGTATCAAAATAATAAGTCTGTGTGAAGTCAAGTAACACACAAAAACAACAATTTAAGAAAATTACTCAGTGCAATGTGATACATAGTTCAATAAATAACAAGTATTTCTATATTGTCATTACTGAATTTCTCTCATACAAAACAAAGTTTATTATCATTTGTAGTAAATAGAGCCCTCAAACTTTGAGGGAATAGAATGAAAACAACTAACCCAAGATACAGACACTTTGTGATCACTGAAAATAAAATCCTATATACTAAGTAGGGCCTCTGAAATGACAAAATATGACCAAAGAGTCATTATTATTACTGATTACGTTGAAAATAAAAGTGGAGGTAATGTTATTAGCATCTGCCAGTAACTCCAGTAGGAAAGCACTGAAGGCGACCTGAGCAAAGCCTATCAGATCTCTAGGGGGAGGGGAGTACTGGGGATGGACCCCAGGGCCTCGTGCAGAGCTGCGCACCAGCCAAAGGCTATTAGATCCTATAGAACATTCCAACTAAGGAAGAACAGTAATATCCTAGACAATCCCAGCAGCTGTGAACAGAGAAAACACACTAAATGACTTTGCCTCCTGCCTCCGAAATAGCAGTAATTACAAAAGCCAGGGATCAGGCGAGCAAGGCAGCTTGACTCAGCAGAAACAGGCAAGTTAGGACGGTAAGAAGTGGGATCGCACTGCCCTTCCTACTACCATATCAGAAAAGGACACAGCAGTCAGTTAAAATAAAGACATGTGCAACCCTAAAATGAATACAGTTCATTATAAACCATAGCTTACTATGTGGTTAATCTGAACTGTCAGCGTGACTGGGCTAAGAAGTCCCTAGTGTTTCCAGCTGGAGGCGTGGCCCAGGAAGGAGCATGTCACGCTCTAGTCCTGCTCCTGTGCTCTTTAAAACAAAAGTTAAAAAGAAGAAAACTAACATCCACCCTGTGTGGGGCTGTGAAGGTCAATGTGGGACTAGCCAGTGTCCAGAAATAGGAAAGTAATGGCTATTGATACCTTTGTAATTTTTTCAATCTGCTTCTTGCGCACTGAGGTATTATCAATGGACAGAACTTCTACAGACTCTTCTTTCTCCAACTGGTACTTATTCACCCCAACAATTACTTCAGAACCTGTTAATTTCCCAAAGGAAAACAATTACTTCCACAGTAATTGTTTGATGACTGTGCATTTTCCTTTCAGGTGGTTTATAATAATCTATGAGCAGATTATTATGCATTTTCCTTAGAAGTTCAACATTTACAAGTAGTATTCTTAACTCAGTGAACCTTCATTTCATTCCACCAACTATGTTACCTTCAAACGGAAGTTAACATTGCCTTCTAAGCACCAAGTCTCAGCAGGCCACCTGCGCGCTCTCTCTCACCAGAATCTATTCTCGCTTGTCTTCGTGCAGCACATTCCTCGATTCGAAGTTTCGGGATTCCCTCCGCGACAGCTTTGGCCATTCCACCCATTTCTTCAATTTCATTAATGAGCTAGTAAGAAAAGCAGATTGATAAAACTTGTTAGCTCTGAGTGTTGTGTGATAATAATAATTAAAATTATAAGGTCTAGTTAAATCTTATAAAAAAGGAATTACGTAAGTAGCCAGGAAATTAATTAAAATTTTGTGTTTAAAGTCATAGTGATACCTGGGCACTTATTGTTAGCTTGTTCTGGAACTCTGAGGAGTGCCAAGACTGAGGGGCGCTGCACTGAATGAATCACCCCCTCACCCCCGAGAGATAACAATTAGAAATGATTTGGGAAATTTCCAGGACCTTCACAATTTACTGGGTACCATTCAGCTTTCTGTGACCCGATTAGCATTTCTGTACAGTACAAGACAGAAATGGCAAACATGTGGCACTGTCCCAGAGCTACTGAGACCTGTTTTTCTCATTAAAATGTGACAAATATATAGATTTGATGACTTCTGAAACCTACAGGTACCAAAGTAGGACTATATTTAAAACACAACAGAAAAGCTAATAAAGTATATTCTAGGGGACCGAGGAGATGGCTCAGTAGAATAATCACTTGCCTGGCAAGCGCAAGGGCTTGAATTCAATCCCCGGTTCCGCCAAAAAAAAAAAAAGAGTGTATTCTAGAAAACACAAAGCTTGTCACTCAAGTCTTGAGAGAAAACCAAAGATACTAGCAATTCTCTAATCTTTATTGCTAGTTATACCCTCTAAGTTGTCAAACTTACATAATGAAAAATAGACTGCAAAATGCAACTGTGCTTTTTATTGGAACAGATACAAATCTCTCTCTAATGAAACCAGGAAATACCTCAATCTTCAATCACAGTCATATATAAAGGCAGAAAAGAGATGACAGAAAGAAACAAGGCCAAATCTGAAGGATTCGAGAACAAAGAATCTATATCCGAGTCTACAAAAGACAAGTACATAATAGAGACTAAAAAGAGAATACTTGTAAACTGCAACTGCCTCTTTCATTTGGATAAAAACATAAATTTTCTGTCTATAGAAAATTAGAGAAGAAAAGGGCCAGCCTGATAGCTCAGCAGACTAAAGTGCCTGCTAGGCAGAGCGCAGCGGCTGGGGTTCAATCTTGGGGCACGCTGAGACAGCGATGGAGTGTGGTGTGAGCCTGTAATCCCAGCACTTGGGAGGCTGAAAACAGGAGAATCACTGTGAGTCCAGTCTATGTAGCGAGACCCTGTAGGCCCTATAAACCCTGTCCTGAATACAGAAAAACAAAAACAAAAACAAAAAAGAAAATTAGAAGAAGCAACAGATTATCAAGCGCCTAATATAGGAACAGTTAAGGTAAGATATTTTATTGAAATAAAAATTTTCATTCTAAATAGTAAGACTAGAGAAAAAGCACAGAGACAATACAAAATGCAAGAGAACTTTAAAAAAACACTATAAACATTCTCGTAATATGAAGAGATTCTGCACTCATAAAACAACATAATACTACATATTAGAATAAATATTGGGAATCAAAAATGCACTCAATTACAATATGACATTGTTGAGCATGGTGGTGCACAACTGTAATTCTCAGCATGTCCAGGCTGAGGCAGGAGGTCAGAAGTTTGGGGTCAGTCTGAACTATAAAGTGAGTTCAAGGCCAACTTCAACTGCATAGTGAGACTGTCTCAAAAGACAAAAAAATTAAATAAAATATGACATTAATTTCAAAACATTTAACTACAAAGATAAAGGTAATTAGACCAAGTTGATGAAATCCTATAGAAGTAAAAGCCCAAGACGTGTGCTGTAGAAATGGTAACATCGCATATTATTTAGAGAGGTGCATTAGCTTTGAATAGGAGTTCTAGACTGAAGAAAAATGTCAGGAGGAGACTGTCAAAGAAATTATTGTATGCAAGAAAATTTCCAGAGCTACAAAAATACTTTCGGAAGGCTGAGATGGAAGACTCATTAAAGATTCAGTACAAGGTAGGAAAAACTACACATACCAACCAAGGTCAATACCAATGCAAAAAGTAAAAAATCTTGATGCTTCCAGAAAGAAAGGTCACAAGGGAGAATGGAATCAAATTTCTGATTAAAACTGTTGGAAGACAGAATAAAAACAGACCAATGCTTACAAATTACTGAATGGAAAAAATTTCAAGCCTAGTTAGCTTATCAATCAAATATAGTAACAAAGACATTTTCAAACAGGAAGTAACTCCTGCGCACATCTACAGGAAGCTGCTATGAGAAGGCCTTCCAAATAACAGAGACAGACGCCAGACTCAGGACTGAGAGCTTGACACAGGAGCGAGAAAATATTCCCAAGACTATGATAAAGAGAAACCAAAGAACAACAGTGGTTAGAAGGCCTAGAAAGAAAACAAATCAAAAGAAAACATACAAACACCTCAGAAAAGATTGGGCTATAATTATTGCCCTATGAAGAGAGGAGAGAAAAAGAAGGGGTGTGAATCAGCTAAAATATCAATTGCTGTATCAGAAAAAAAATGTCAAAAGCCTAATTTCTGAAGTCTAAAGTTGAGAAACGTAGAAGAAACAGTACACGTATATATGATTTAAAATTATGTGGATTAAAAGCAGCAACAAACAAAGAAGTGGGTAGCTCACCTAAGAAACAAGATCAAAAATGGCAGAAAAGGAGCAGTGCTGTTTTGCTTAAGTTCTTTAACACTTGCAGTCTTCTTAACTCTTTGAATACAATTAATACAAATTCAAAGGTATTTTTAAATCAAGTTTCAGTTTCGAAAGTTATGAAATCAAATGGAAATATCCTTTTCCTCATATTTTGAGGAACATATTTATTAACCTTTGATAGAAATTTAAAACTGTTTACATATAACTTAAAAAAATCTATAAATCCTGACTTATGAAACTTTCAAGCAGTTTCGAGAAGGAGGAGCTGACCTTCAAGGCGGCATCGAACACGTCGTCGGTGAGGGACTCCATCATATAGGATCCTCCCCAAGGGTCGGCCACCTTGGGGATCCCAGACTCCTCCTGGATGATGATCTGCGTGTTCCTGGCAATCCGGGCACTCTTCACAGTGGGCAGCCCCAGAGCTTCATCAAAGGAGTTGGTGTGCAGAGACTGAGTCCCTCCAAACACGGCTGCCATCGCTTCCACTGCAGTGCGGATGATGTTGTTGTACGGGTCCTAAAGCACGCGTTATGGGAGAGCAAAGCACAGCCAAGGGACAGACGGGCAGCTGTGACGGGGCTGTAGGTGAGCAGCGACGGCTGCACACTGTCTGCCAACATCCACCGCAGTCTTCAGAGTATCAGACAAACTTAGACGAATCAGTAATAAGCCAGAAGTGGACTTCAGAGTCAAACTGTGTGGTCTGTGCTCAGACACTGCCTCTTACGACCCTCTAAAACATCCAACAGTGTGTTGCACCTACTTTTATCCTGCTTTTTTGAAACAGAGTCTCACTGTGTAGTTTAGGCTGAGCTTGACTTCACTGTGTAGCCCAGGCTGGCCTCACATGTGCAGGGACGCTCGTGCTTCAGCCTCCCAATGCTGGGGTTATAGGTGTGACACCCTTACTTTTATACTGTCTAAATACTGACTCATAAGTATAGGATGAAATGCCCCTTACTTACTTTGAGCTTGCTAGGCAGGCTCTGCACCACTGAGCTATATCCCCAGTCCTCATACTACCAGAGAATTGCTACTGGCATAAATTAGTTACTGAACTGACAATAGTCCTTAAATGGTCTGCTTGCTTGAATACTTGCTTAAATGTGTAACAGTAATAAATAAATTATATGTCTGTGCATAATACCAATTTTTTTTTTGTGGCTGGCTCACCGCACCCTGGGGGCAGGGCTGGTGCAGCACATGGTGCCTGGGATTGAACCGTGGTCCCTGAGCGTGCCTAAGCTTGCTTAAGCAGGCCCTTTTAGTCCACTGAGTTATCTCACTGGCCCCATAATATCAAAAAAAATTTTTTTTTTTTTGCTCTGAATGCCTTCAGGGCAGGTGTGGCTGGCTTGAGTTGTGGGGATCGAACCACAGCAACCTGAGCCTGACTGCTTTGTGGAAGCAGCCACTTAAAGAACTGAGCTAAGGGGCAGGCCCTCCATAACATCAAATTTTAATTAAGCAGTTTTATGCTAAAAATTCTAACTCAAAATTATATAGGAATATATTAATTAAATTAACTTACTTTTACCTTATCAAATTATTTTTACTTTTATGTGTAATGATACATAGGCTCGGATTTAAACTAGTTTATATTGTTAGCCACTAGATGGAGCCGATTATTTATTCACCACGTATAAATACAAACCTAAATGTGTAGTATTTTGCTTCAAATGCTAGCAATGGGTTCTTAAATCTAGTGCACATGTCAAGTCAGTTAGAAGAAAATACTGATTTTCTCTACCTCTAGTCTACATCACGTGCGTACCTGCTCTGTCAGCGACCACCCAGACGTCTGACAATGTGCTCTCAGAAGAAGAGACTTGGAGTTCTTAGGCTGGAACATCCGCTCTATTAAGTGAGCCCAGAGCCTTCGTCCAGCTCGCATCTTCGCTATCTCCATGTAGAAGTTCATGCCAATTCCCCAGAAAAAAGACAACCTGCAACAATGATCTTAGATCCAGCATCGGCTTAAACTTAGTACACTATAGGACAAAATAAAGCGGATTATGTCACACACATAAAAATTAATAGCCAGATTAAAACATTAAACAACTAAATTAGAAATAAGAGCATAGCATAAATATTAAAGAAACTATAAATCTAGCACATAAACCTGTAATTTTATGCATGTAGAAAAAACAGCTATGATTATTTGCTTCTTATAAGAAGGACTGACCTTGTCATTGATTTGCTTTAAGGAAAGAATTATGTCTGTATCCTTAATTAACGGAGGAAGTTTCTTTTTAAAAATTAGCAATGCCAAAAGGTAAGACAGGGGTGCCTTGGAAGGGAATAAAATTATAAACATGGTTTATTGGACTGAACTGTTTTTTACAAGACGAATAGCGTATTTGGTCCACCTGCATTTTCTCCAGCGTGTTCTGATGTTCTTTGTTCTGCTGCTGACTTACACACTGAGATTACGTACCTGGCGCTAAAGCCATAAAAGTTACGTTTTCTTATATAAAACCCTTGTTAGCCTTAAGAAACCAAAACGTCTTAGCACTTTTTAAAAAATCATTTATTTATTTGTTTGGTACAGGGTCTCACTATGCAGCTCAGACTTGGAATGATCTCCCCATCTCAGCATCCCCAGCATGGGGATTACAGGCATGTGCCACCATGCCCAGTTTTGGGGTCAGCACGGCATGTGGAACATACAGTACCAGGGATCAAACCCGGATCCCTGCGCTTGTTAGACAAGGACTTAGAATTCCCCGCCCAGAGGATCTTAATACACTTCAATGTAGTTCTTAACCCAGCAGCTCTCAAATATTTTTATCTCAGCATCTCTACATTCTTAAAACTTTGGATTATACATATAATTAATGTACTAGTTCTTGTAAATAGTAATTAATTTACAACACCTTAACATAAGCAACATTTTTATGAAAATTATGTCTTCAACACAAAATATTGCTACAAAAAGACTGTCACTCGATATTTTTGCAAATCTCAATGTATGGCTCAAAAGCTCCCCTTCTGTGGTCAACCTGCTGCAACACCCCATCATGCGGCTCTTAGAAAACAACATTACAAAATTCTGAAAGAACGAAAGTTAAAAAGGCAAAGTTTTAACATAGTCATGAAAACCATTTTGGCCTAAAAAGCCTCACAAGGGGCCCTCGGCTCACACTTGGAGAACTGCAGCCATAACAAGTACACAGTATCCCCGGCATGAAAACATACTCATGAGTCTTCGACTTTCTGACGGTGAAGCCATGTCTGGAACACACCGCATGGCCAGCACGCAGCTAAGGCCTTAGCTCACAGCAAAGCTGAGCAAAGCAACTGCCAGATCCACCCTTGGATTGACTTCTGAATTAAGCCATATTGAACTTTTCTTGTATTTTTCATACAATTTTATTAATAAACTGTTTGTAAACAAAATATCTGTGTTGTGCCCAGTTATATGAGTACAACAGAAAAACTGGGCTTCATATTTCCATAGCTCATACCCATTTTAAAAACGGTAAAATTATTTTAATCTTATGTTTATACTTTCATGTAGTTTGTTAAAATATAGAATTGTGATTATGCTCCCTACATAGAAGACATGTCAGTCACTTATTTACAAAGGCATTGTCCAATTTAATTCTATTTTTTATTATAAATAGGACAGCTTATTCTCATTACTACTTAGAAAAAAATGTATGATAGAAATCTAGCAAGGCATTTATGTTCACAAACCCATTTTGTCAATGTGCTTTGGTGCACAGCGATAAAAAGTCAAAAAATGGTCCTACAGTTTTCTTCTTGGTGAGTGGTGGTGGTTGTACTGCGACTGAACCCAAGGCCTTTGCATGAAGCTACATCCTCAGCCCCCCTCCCCTTTTTTTCCTGTATTTTCTAGGGAAGGGTCTACTGGGTGTTCAGGTCTCACTACTATATGGGACTCTTGTAGTGATCCGCCTGTTTATGGCCTCCCAAGAGCTGGGATTACAGGCATGTGCCAGCAGGCCCTGTCTAGATCGCCCTCTCAGCACACCCCGGGGGCAAGGCCGGGAGGGCAGGCCCGGGGATTGAACGGCCCCCTCACCCCTGCACCTGATTGCAGGTGCTTTAATCTGCTGAGCTATTTGGCCGGCTCAGCCTCAGCCCTTTTTATTCTGAGCCAGGGTCTTGTTAAGTAGCTAAGTTGCCCAGGCTGGGCCCAACCTTTTGATCCTCCTGCCTCAACCTGCCAGTGTGCTACCGTGAACCATCACCCCCAGTTTGTATTTTAACACTGAGACAATATTGCAGTTTAATTCACTCACCTTGGTGCAAATTCATCGATTGTTAGGCCAGCTTGGAGTCCCGTTCTACAGTATTCTAACCCATCTGCTATAGTATAGGCCAGCTCCAGAATGGCATCTGCCCCAGCTTCCTGCATATGGTATCCGCTGATCGAGATTGAATTGAACTTCGGCATGTGCTATACAAAATAAATACAACAGTGCACAAAAATAAGAAAAGCTTCTATTAAGGCCATTGTCTAAAAGTAAATATATGTAAATGGTTTTCAACTCATATACTTGGTACTTTATAGTATCACTTCAAAATATCTAAACTGGCCACATTAATTCACTCTCCAGTGATCCACAAATTAAGATAGCACTTGTGCAGGGGATGCTGAGTTCTCGCGTTAGCAGCGGCCGCCCTCACACTGCAGAGGGGGCATTTGCCCTCAGATCTCCTCCCACTCGCTCCAAACACTTGTCGCTCGCTCCCTGTGATGCCACGTTCTGAGCCAGTTCTGGAAGTCTTCTTTCATAAAGGTGTTCGATCATGCTGTCTTGGCTACGTCAACATCCTGAATAAATTCAGGTTTTCAGCAATTTCTGACAAATAGAAGCAGTGTGGTGCGTCCTCCTCCACCCTACTCACTGGATCTGGCGCCGGGCCACTTCTGGTCTTCTGGTCTTCCCCAAAGTCAAAATGACTATGAAAAGTCTCCACTTTGAATGAATTCCTGACACTGAAACAGCCATGACAGGGCAACCAAAGACACAAGAGGACTTTCAGAATGAGTTCAAAAGTGACTTAAAATGCGACAAGTGTTTTTGAAACAAGAGGGAATACTTCGAGGGGGATTAATGACAGTGGATCCTTTACTGTAATAAATCTTTTAAATTTAATCATTTATCACGTATTTTGATACTTTGTATATATATTCCATATACCTAAAACACAGCTAGATCCTTTACATTTGCAAATATTTTATTTATAACTAATTAGAATCTCTTGAAAAATCTTCTGTCAGTGGAGCATGAAGTGCATTCTTGTAACCCTGGCACACTAGGAAGCTGGGCAAGAGGGCAGCAAGTTCAAGCCCAGCCTAGGCAACTTATCAACTTCATATGACCAAAAAATAAAAGAATGGCTGGGAATGTCGCTCAGTTCAAAGATCCTAGATTTGATCCCCAGTGCCAAAAGAAAGAAAGGAAAAAAAAAAGTTCTACCGCAAAATCAGCATGGGGATAGAGGCACAGGAAAGTGGTAAACTAATCATATAAACGCATGTATTATAAGATGTGTATGTAGGGGGCTGGGGAGATGGCTCAGTGGAATAAGCGCTTACTGGCAAGTGCAAGGGCCTGAGTTCAATCCCCGGTTCCACCAAAAAAAAAAAAGATGTGCATGTAGAGGTCACTCACAAAGGAAGAAAACAGGTGTGTTGCTATGTAGAGACATTTACTGATTGAATTTAAAAGCAACAGAAAAACTAGGATATTTTAACCTTAAAACAGGAAGAAATTTTCCCACATTCTAACTGTATAACATGGCTAACCCTTGGAGCTTTAACACTGAATGAACTAAAGACAAATACCGTATGGCTCATGTCATATGAAGTACACAGAACAGCCAGATTCGGAGACAGCAAGTAGCACGGTGGTTCCCAAGGGCTGCAGGGAGGGGAGGGCAGGGCTCTACTGCTTAACAGACAGCATCAGCTTTGCAAAATGAGTCTAGAGGGAGAAGGTAGTGACAGTCGCTATGGAACTGTGCATAGGAAAATGTTAGGATGGAACTCATGATATATGTATTTTGTTGCAATTAAAATTTTTTGTTTTCCGGTACTAGAAATCAAATCCAGGCTCTTAGTCTATCAGTGAACCTTATCACCAGCCCAAAAATTTCTTTCCAAATACAACAGTTTACATTTTACAAGACACTTTAAAGAAACATTACTTTCCTAGTAGCTAAATTTGGCATTTCATCATGTACATTAGAATTACATTAAAGAATTGTGAACTTTTGGATGGCATTAGGATCTTCTCCAAGGTGAAATAAATACCCAAGTATTGAACAGAGAAGACCGCTCCTGTCTACTGCATGAAGCACTCTTCATCTTCCTCCTATAGTCGCAGAATAAATTCAGAGGGCGGAAGGACCAGCCCCACGTTGCCACTCTTACTGCCATGTTGCCCTGAGATCTACTGCAAGCGCGATGTGTTCCAAGCTCTGAGGAGCCAGAGCACCCTGCTTCTGACACATATCGTGTGCACTTCCTTCCTCAGCCACTTAACAGAGAAGCACAGAGATAAAAGAGAGCCTAGAGCCCTGATTCACTATGATGTTTTCATTAAACAAGTGAGTTCTGGATAGCCAACCATCAGACTGGACTGCGTTAGATGAAAGAGAACTGACTTCTTAAATTAAGCCACTGCTAAATAGCCACTGTTTGTGTTTGGAATATGGTGCTAAACACAATTTTCCTCTATATAGGTTCTTAGTAGAAACACATGGTAGAAATACCCAACTATATGCAATGCAGTTCAGTTGGGCACATTTACTACATAAAAAGGAATAAAATTTGTAAAGTGCAAAAACTAATAATAAAATAGGGAATATAGACAATGTGTCTAGAATTCTAAGATAATAGAAATTGTAAGAGGTGAATAAAATTTTTAAAAATTTGATGGAGATTTTCCCACTGCTATTACAAAATGGTCTAACTTTAATGCAGAAAAAGAGTACTACTCACAAGAAGGAAAGGGAACAATGAAGGACACTATGTATGACTCGCTCAATGGAAAATGAAGGAAGGAAAATGTTCCCCTGGAGGGAACACTGTAAGAAGCCTTTTTTGCCCACAACTCTGAGAAAGATTAAATCTAATTCGGGGTAAAAGTCCGGGTCTTCATTAAGGGTACAGATATAAACAGCATCTTCCATTCCAGCTTTTAGCAGAAACAAACCAGTATTTTTTGATCCTCTTGTGTCTTGAGCCCAGTATCTACACTAATCACACCTGACCTCGAGGGAACTAAAGAAGTGTGAACTGTGAGACTCACCAATTCTAACAATTACAAGAGAAATAAAAAATGTAAGACAGTAAATATATAATATCCAAATAATGGCAGTGCATTATATTAGTACCATGAGCACTTTAAAGACAAAAACCAACACCAATAAAGATCTTGACTTACTACCTATTCTATTTGCCATTTACTAAACTATTTCTCATGCTAGTCACTAAATTCAAGTTAAACTGTATCATTTTGTAAACATTCCTACATTTAAATAACTATAGAAAAATCTATACTAATGGTAAAGTCTACCTTTGCTGTATATTGAAAGATGTCAGCAATAATTTTCATGGATGGTTCTGGAGGAAAAATGTAAGTATTTCTGACCATAAACTCCTTTAATATATCATTCTGAATTGTGCCAGTAAGTTTCTCTTTAGGTACACCTTGTTCTTCTCCAGTTACTATGAAAGTTGCCAGCACGGGAATAACTGCTCCGTTCATCGTCATGGAAACTGACATTTTTTCTAAAGGAATTCCATCAAAAAGAATTTTGGTGTCTTCTACAGTGTCGATGGCAACTCCAGCCATTCCAACATCCCCGCGAACTCGAGGATTGTCTGAATCATAACCACGATGCGTAGCCAGGTCAAAGGCAACTGACAACCCTTGCTGACCAGCTAAATACAAAAGGAAGATTAAAAAAATAATATTAGAATTTCATACCAAAGTAAACTCATTTTAGCACTATCAAGAGCATTAATTGGTCATATCATAAAATATTTTAAAACTTCTTTATGCTTAGACACATGAAAGCACGTTGAAATAGAGCTTCAATTCCTCAGAGTCAGCTTTTTGCAAACTACAAAAATGTACAAACTGACTTCCAGACTATAATATGTGAAAGAATAAAAGGAACACAATATTTTATTTATTACACAGCTGTCTGAGGATTTGTTAGTTAATCTGAAGCATCAGATTATTTTTGGTTCTCTTTTTTTAATAGTTTTATGATTGAACTATTTCCAATATTCATCTGGCTACTCATATATTTTTAATGTAACAGCATTTGTATATTCACTTAGTTTTTTTCTTTATCCAACAAAGTTAAATAAGGCAGGGTATCCTGGCTACTCAAATATTCTAGGTAACAATTATGAATATTCAAATTTCCAGGCAACGATGATGAATATTCAAATATTTCAGGTAATGTTATAAATATTCAAATATTCCAGGTAATAATTATGAAAACCACCACACTTTCCCCCACAATGCTCATTACTGAACCCAAGGCCTTCAGCATAGTAGGAAGCACTCTCTAAGCTACACTCCCAGTCTCCATTCAAAAATTTTAAATAGTCTATACTAAGTTTTACTCCAGTCCTCCATGGGCAATCTAAACTTAAGAAATCCTCTAAGTTAGCATTCAAACAATATAATTTGTTTATAGATCAGAAAGAAATAATAGTTTCCAGAGAATGTTGCATTTTATTGAATGTACCAGTAATTCTTTACCAAGTGTTTATTACTCTCTTTGGAAATCATTTAAACCGTCTTCCCTCCGGTGATTTTCTCAACACTATGAACTGTAAGCTGCTCAAAGGCAAAGTCCACGTGTCCTAATACAACTTCACTCCACCCAATCCTTCTCATACAGTGTACACAGAAGTTTGGTTTACTCCCAAGAATTTTGCACTTTATTCTGACTTATTTATTTTTTAACCGTGAAAGGTGAAAACGTGTTCTTCACAGTATCCTCTTAAACTAAAAAATTAAAGCATGAATATAAGCTCTTCAGAAATCAACCAGCCTCACCTCAAAAAAATTTAAGCTCAGGAGTTTTGGTTCTCATTAAAAATGTTTTGTCTCGTTGGCTAGAGAAGATAGCTTGGTGATCTAAGAGCCTGCCTGGCGAGTGCAAGGACCCAGGTTTGATCCCTGGTACCGCAGGCGGTGCCCACTCCAAAATCCAGCATGGTGGCACACCCCAATAACCCCAGCGCTGGGGAGGCTGAGACAGGAGGATCACTAGGAGTCTGAGCTGTAGAGCAACTCTGTACCAAATAAATAAGTAAATAATTAAAAAAAATATGTCTCACATTGAAGTCTCACCTTTAATATTGTCCTTATAGAATTTGTTGCTCTCTTCTACAGTACTGAAGCCTGCATACTGGCGGATGGTCCAGGGCCGATAGGTGTACATGGTAGGATATGGTCCGCGAGTGAAAGGCTTTACGCCTGGAAGTTCATCAGGCAAATTCTTAGTGTCTGCCCTGGAATACAAGGGCTTTATAGAGATTCCCTCCGGAGTGTGCCATATTAACTCTTCAGGGTTTTTGCCTTTCAGCTGCTTTTTGGCCAGGGCAGCCCATTCTGGGTTAAGGGGCTGTTGTTGGTGCAAAAGCCGTTGCCATCTGGGCCTGGATCCTGATGACTGTTTTAGGTGTTTCAGGTGATGAGGTGAAAGTAAAAAAAGCTGCTTCTTAGCCCTCAGCATGGTGGAGCATGGAGAGTCCAAAAAGGAGACCTACCTAGAAAGATAAACAGAAGAGAGAGGAAAATGGAGCAGGCGGGGAGAAGGAAAAAGAGGATCTATCGATCTCATATCATTTTCTTTTTTTTCTGCTTCCTGCACCTGGTATTTTATAACACTGTTGTCTCCTTAACAAAATTAGTATTAGTCTCATTGTAGCCTTCTTTCTTTCATAGTCCCTTAGCCCATCTGACTGACCATGGGCTAATCCCCTCCAAATCACGCTACACACTGACACCAATACAAATCTAGGTCACATTTGCCACAAAAATTTTCAAAGGATCTGCAATGTGCAAGGCTCTAAGCAATATGAAGGCTCTAAGCAATTCACATAGGTAGGAATTTCACAGATTAGCAAACTGATGCCCAAACTGAAGACTAATTTCAAAGTCCTTTCCTTTGTATGTTCAATCCCTTCCATGAGCTGAGCTAAATGGCCTCTTAAGAAACCCATGCTTCTGTTAAGTTTATAAATTCCTCCAATATTCACTTATATGTCTTCCCAATGTGTGCATTTTATGATTTATGCTAAATTTTATACTAGTTGACTGAGATTAGTTTCATCATTTTACAGATATAAACACTGAGGCTGAATGGCTTGAAAAAAATTCCACACAGGAAAGTAGTAAACTGCTTACCTAAATTACTAAATATTTGGTAGTCATACAGCCTCAACATATAGATCCAGTTGTTCCAAAATATTTTAGATGTAAATTTCATTAACATTTTTTACTAAAAGGTATCAAATGAGCTTGAAGTTTGATTTTCCATACAACTTCTTACCTATCAATTTATTGAAGCACTTAAATTTCAAGACTATCCAATGTCTATTATTGGGCTATACAATAAACTTATACTGCTGACAGAGAGTATTAATTGCTTTGACTGCTTGGGAAAGAAACTTGTCAATATACAGAAAGATCTGAGAAATGTTTAGGTTATTCTACTGAGGAATATTACTTCTGGGAAAGCTAGAAGTGATATACATAAAACAAGTTTGTGTTAGAGAAAACAAATTTAAATGTCTTATGATGTCAGAGTAAGTGAATTACAGTATATACAAATGATAGAATTTTATTTTATTAAAATGTTTAGAAAACAGGAAAAACTACAGTATTTTTTTGTGTCAGCCACAGACTGGGGCTGAGGAGATTGCTCAGCAGGTCTAAGAACCTGCCTGGCAATCGCAAGGACCAGGGTTTGATCCCTGACACTGCATGC